CAATTTATATATTTAGATTTCACAAAAAAAACTTGATGAAGTTTGGCCAAAATTACGCGTTTTAGCACGTTCATCACCTCAAGATAAGTATAATTTAGTTAATGGTATTGTTGAAAGTCATGTAACAGAGCATCGTGAAGTAGTTGCTGTTACTGGTGATGGTACAAACGATGGACCGGCACTTACACGTGCTGATGTTGGATTTGCTATGGTAAATTATATTTAAAAAAATATTTTACATTTGTGTTCTTTTTTTGCTCAATTCGTTTTTTTAAAGGGTATTCAAGGAACAGATGTAGCAAAACAAGCATCCGATATAATCTTAACTGATGATAATTTTTCATCGATTGTCAAAGCTATGATGTGGGGAAGAAATGTTTATGACTGTATTGCAAAATTTCTTCAATTTCAATTAACAGCTAATTTATCAGCTGGTTTGATTTCTGTTATATCAGCTGCAGCTATTAGTGTATGATATATATATATACATATATTTTTTTTTTCTTAACTTTAAAAAAAAAAATTAATCTCCATATATGGTTGGTTTTGTTTTGTTCTTTAGTGCGTACCATTACGAGCTGTACAAATGCTTTGGGTTAATCTTGTTATGGATACATTAGCATCACTTGCTCTTGCAACAGAACCACCGACAGAAGAATTATTAAATCGAAAACCATATGGACGAACAAAATCAATAATATCACCATTAATGTTACGAAATATTCTAGGACAATCATTTTATCAACTTGTTATTATGTTTGTTATACTTTATGCTGGACAATATTTCTTAGATGTTGAACCAACAGTTCAGCAAGTTCAAAATGATCCACATGTAGCTAAAGAATTAAGTGAACAATTTACATTAGTATTTAATGCATTTGTGTTAATGACTTTATTCAATGAAATTAATTCAAGAAAATTGCATGGAGAAAGAAATGTATTTAAAGGAATTTTTCGAAATCCATTTTTTTATTGTATTTGGATTTTTTGTTTTATTGCACAAGTAATTATAAATTGAAAAAAATTCAAATGATATATTATTTATTTAATTTTTAGATTTTAATTGTCACATTTGGTGGTCGAGTATTTAGTTGTGCACCATTGAATATTAAACAATGGGCATGGAGTTTAGGTTTTGGTGCTGGATCACTTTTATGGCAACAGGTTTGTCGTTTGAATAATTGATGAAATTCTAAGCAAAACTTCATTTTTATAATCTAGATAATATTATTTATCCCAACTGAACCATTTGGTCGATGCTTTTCAGCAATGTATCGTATTTGTTGTCCATGTTGTTATAAAAGGCAACAAAAGAAGCATGCTGACAAAGAAGCTATTCGAAAATCAATCGAAGCGGCTCAAGCACGACGAATATCAAGATTTAGTGATGGTGAATATATGCCATATAGTACAATTGTTCAATTAACAAATGCAACTGTTGTTGCTGAACCACCACATACGATTGCTAAATTTATGCTTCGAAAAAGTGTTGATCGACTTAATACAGAGGTTCAAATTTATTTTTTTTTCAGAATTTTTATAGTTCTACATATGATATATATTTTAGTTTCGTGTTATTAATGAATTTCGCTCACGACTTGAAGAACTTAAAGATATAAAACATGAAGAAGTTATTGAACATAAACGTAATAGTCGAGCCAATATTCTTGAAGAATAATTGTGAACGAGATTGATGCAACATGTTCACTTCTTTATATCTTCTCTTTTTTTATTAATTGGTTTTTTCTTGTTCCTTTGATTTCTTTTCATTTATTTGTGCTCTTTGTATTGTGTTAACATGCTGTGCGCTTTCATTACCAGCAAATAACAAATGAACAAAACTATAAGAAAAAAGAATAAAACCTTTCCTTTTCTCTTTTCCTTATTCTATTTTCTATTCTTCCAATGTGTGGTCTCTGTGTATGCAATTATCTTTTTGTTCTGCATATGTATCTCTATATGAAGTGACATTCACATGGAGAAATATCCGAGATTTTATTTGTTAATTTATATATATATATATAAATTATTAATCATTAGTGACAATGTTAAGTGGAGAATAGTTTTGTGAATTGAATTGACATTGTTTTCCAATAGAAAAAAATGATGCTAATTCGTTTATTTGTATTAATAATTAAAAGAATATCATTTTTCTTAGAAAGCTTATTCAACATAAATTAAGTATTCGAATGAAAAAAGTTTTATTAACATTGCTGAAATACATTCCAAATTATTTCTTCTGCAAAAAGGCCAATAATCATTGATAGATTATATATTGAAGTATTATATAAAACAACTAGATATCATCGAGTTATCAGATCATTGATACCTAATAAGTTTTTTTTTACTGTTATAATAATAATGCAATGAATAGCACTTATGAATTTTTGGATAATGATACCTTTCATTTTTATGATTATTATTTGTACATGAGGTATCTCAATGAAGTTTTGTATAATAAGAATAAAAAAAGATTCCATTTCAATACCATTTTTGATTATTTTGATTGGTTTAGAATGATTTTTTTCATCTATGTTCTTGTTAATAGCACTTTTGAATCCTATCCAAATTTATGTAGTTTTAAGATGAAAATTAAGTTATCTCTATTCGTTTCTGATTAATATTGATAAGAATTAGTCTTTGGCTCAATCACTAAATGCTTTTCTTCAAATAGACTGTTAGTCTAGACTTTAATCATATCTAATATCGAAATATGCTTTCTCTATAACATGCATGAGTCAAAGCATTATTGTCATGATACTGACAATGATGAAAACTTCTATCCCATAAAATTATGACTAGGATATAGTGTTTTTTCGTTATAATTTCAATGTTCGAAAATGAATTGCAATCAATTTTTTTTTACTTTACTTTTATTAGAAAAGATAAATGAATACCATTGTTTTGATATGCTGCTAAATTTAAATTTGTTTTATTTCTATGAGAAGGTACACAAATATCAACCATAGACTCGCTCTTCCGCTTTAATTGATCAAAGTTAATAACTATTCTTTTTATATATATGACTGTGAAAAATTGATTAAGATATTTTTCGAAAAACTATCATTTACATCAATCATTGATATTTTTATCGGATATTATTTTTTTCATTGAATCGTACTATTTTGAATTCCTGATGAACGATAAAGACACATTTGAAAATTGTAACATAAAGTAACGTATACATTCGATAACTTAATTAATATTCAAATATCATTAATAATAAAATGCATGTTAACTAAACACTAATGATTGGAAAAATCAATGAAACTAGTGAAGATTACTATTTTCATTAAGCTCATTTTGACAACAAACAAGTCAAATCAGGTGTTACAATGCAATGAAGATCAGAGACCAATAGACAAATACGAATTTTTTTTTTTCTTAAACAATTTCTTTAACAAATTTCAAATCAGTCTTTAGTTTTTATATTTGGAAAATGATTTTAAAATCTTTCCAAAGAAAAGCAGCGAGAAATAATTATTTGAAAAATATTAATAATCATATTTTTTTCAGTTTTAATACACATTTTAATAGAAAGAAATATATAAACATTTTTCGATGTTGAAGATTCGCCCTCTCGATGTTCATAGATATCTACCTGATCAAAATAAAACAATACATCTAATTTTTGAAAAGAAAAAATTTGAATAAAAATCATATGAATGCAATTGTATTTTATTTTACAAATAGGAATTTTCGATCATTTTTTGGTTAGTGTGATCATTATCAACTTTGAAGACATCATTTGTGACCTTAGCTTCATTTATATCTTAGTCTAGATTATTTCCATTGATTTATATTTATGAATTAGTTTATGTTATTGATTAATATTGATTTTTTGATTAATATCGATTTCATGTTGCCATAGTTTTGATTTTCTAATTCTTAATGCTGGTTTTGCAATAAATACTTAGACTAAAGTCACAAGTGATATCTTTCAAACTGATGATGACTGTATTAACAAAAAAATGTCAAATATTCCTATTTTTAAAATAAAACATAACTAGATTACTATGGTTTACTTATTTATTTATTATCAATTTTTTTCAATTTATTCTTCATAGTATCATTGTATGTGGCCATCATTATACCTTAAGTGCATCTCTTATATAGCTATCATACATGCTCACGTACAACAACCGTACTCACTGTATATATGGTGAAATGGACGGGTATAATAAAAGAAAAGTTTAAATAAGATAGACACTGTTGGAATTATTGTTACGAAGTTCTTCCTCAACTATGACTTTAGACACTTCTATCCCTGTAATGTTTATTGTTGGCAATGACAACTAATAGATGGCTGCTATAAGAAAATTGTTTTGTAATGCATTGTACAGTTTACTATGCGATATAAGAATACAAGTAACAATATTTTCCTCTGCAACCAATATCTTTTTAGATGGAATCAAAAACGGTAGTGAGACATATTCGATAGGAAATTTCAGTATCAAAAACCATGTTAGGACATGAGCGAAAATTACACTTTTGACAACAAATTCTTGATATTTACGAGTAAAGTTTACAGGATACACTGATTGATAAAAGATACAATACCAGTATAACTATGAAGCTAAAACTTCTTAATATGAGTAATAGATCAATTTATTAGTTAAGCTATTTGCTTTAATCATGAAGATAAATATACTTTAAAATTAAAGGTATGTTTTGTATTTTCACTATCATATTTCGAAATAGATGCGAGAACATTAAAAAAAAACAATCGTTTGTAATGTTAAGTTAAACTTTTGAGGGTATATTTTTCTTGAGAATTTAAAGAAAAACAACAAAGACAGAAAATATTCATCACTTGTTGTCTATTATTGATAATATTACTTTGTGATTTTATTTTGTACGAATCATAAATAACATGTTTTCAATGTTAATTTAACGACCAGAGAAACCTTTTCTCTTTGTGTTTGTGTATGCTAAATTTTAATAGCATAAGAAGATAGAAGACGTAACGCAGAAAAAAACGATAAAAAAAAAACTTTTTATTTTTTTTAATTTCGTCAGGCACATCATATAAAGCCGAACAATTATAATTATGTACATTGAATATAGGTTTCTAATTTAATTACGCTTTTTAATCATGAGACACTCTATCGTAAATGTATTACAATAACATTTAGTTTTATTTCACAATGCATGCCTTTTCTATTGCAATGTAATGAGCTGTTTACGTTGAATATTAGTACAGAAATAGATATGCAAACATTAAAGAAAGTTTTAATATTGAATTAATTAAATCAGAATACATTAAAAGATTTAATAATTTTCCATAGCATTGAAATAATGTTATATAACTATTATGCTAACAAGCTTTGTGAAAATCATGAGTATAATAAATTTTAAACAGGAGAATTTCACTGGAGAATCTTTTGTTCATAATTATTGTTAGGAATTTAAAAAAAAAAGTAACGGTTTCAAATGATGAACGTCCTGATAATAAAAATCTTTCTTTTTCAAAAATTAATGGTAAAGATAGCATTATTTTTGTCGCATCAAACGGCGCGTCAACAAGATGATAACGACGAAAAATGGCTTCTATCAAGATGATTGTTTATGATGATCAATGTGATTCTTTATGCTTATCATTTACGTTGCAATCAAAACGACCATGCTTCCGACCGTCGTTTTTGCCATGTTTCCATACTGTTGTTACAATTAATTAAAGAAGCCTCTTGAACCTTTTGTAAAATAACCTCTGATGATCTAGAATGGGTCAATCTTGATGAGCTTATTTGTCATTGTTAAGTGAATCAAGCCCAAATGCTCCTCTCGAGCGCTTTGCTGAGATGGCAATACAATAAACTATTTTTTACATTTAACTTCGTTTTTTGCTAATGTGAAGCTTCAATTCATCGTTTTTTTGCCCTATTTCATACGTCGATTAATATATTTTACTAAAACCTATTCGACTAGATGACGCATAATTCTTAATAATGTCTTTGAGTCATACTGCACGATGATCAACATGATTCCAACTTTCAAATTATGAAGAATAAGTATGCATTTTTACGGATTTACCATTCTTCACGCTCAAAAAAACGACCGTAAACGATATGAAATGGTAAAACCCGCTGTCATTATGTCGCTACTCTCTTGAATCCCATAAAACAGAAAATTTAGTAAAAAAAAATGATGGTCATTCACTATAGAAAAAAATGTCCCGTACAACAATTAGAAAGATTACAACGAAATACAATGAAACTTAATGCAATAATACACTAGTCTGACGATTGAAATGATCGTATTGATTTGTTGCTTCTCTTTATAGATAAGTAAGTAGTATAGTTGAGGAGACGCATACTTTTGTATTTCAAATACTCACTGTGAAATTCATTCAAATATCCATCTTTATCTTAATCCTATCATATCTAAATAACAATTCATCAGTGTCTAAAAACGCTGAAAAAACACCGACAACAACTTTCTGATTTCAAAAGATATCTATCTTCAATCTTTTGTAATTGTATTAGACAACTAGTTTGTTTCATAGAATTTTTTTGACTGTCCTTCCCTACATAAAATTATTGTTTCTGTGTGCCATCATTTTTTTTATACGTATACTATAACGCAGATATATGAAGCCATATACAGCAACAATAAAATGTCAATTAGACAATATATATTGTGACAATAAGGCTCTTATACTACTAATCGTCAGTTTCCGATAGTAAATTCCTACTCGGAGGTGTTTACAGCAGAAATGTAGTCGTTTCCATAGCTATGTTCTGCTCTTGAAATTATCTTGTGTTAAGTACAAAATTAGGAAAAAGAAAGAGCAAATGTAATGTAGAGAACACATGAATCACTCTCTATCTGGTTAATTACATTTTTTTTCTTTTTCAAAGCAAAATATCTTTATTTATAGATGTATCAGAAGACGTATTGGACAAATAGAACAGACAAGACATCAGAGGAATTAGAAGATCTTGAATATAACAACAAAGACGAAGTTTTGAACAAGTTACATCGAAAGACAAAAAGAAAGAGAAAGAGTGTGTCACAGGCAGACCTTCTAGCAATAATAGTTAATCAATGAAATAAAACCAATGTCTATTCATTTCAGTTGATGAAAATGAAATATTTTTTCCTACAGGAAGTACATATAATACTAGTCTATATAGTTTAACGGAAACTAATTTTTTCCATTGTTCATTTCTTTCAACTAGTAAATTTATGATTTCAAAATTCAAATGAATGTCATTGTCTAGTCATTACTATTTAAGAAAAAATAATTAGCTGTCAAATTGATGTCTCTTAGTATCCAAAGCAAATATATCTCTATGTGAAACATAATATAAATTTATGAAAAAATGTCATTTTCTTGAACCATTCTTCTTATGTCAATAGAAAAACTTATACTGCGGATTCACTCAAATTGATTTTTCTTCAAATTATGAATTCAACAAAGGAAGATTCCGCAATATCCAATATTAGAGACTATTATGTTGTTTGTTCTCTATCGGCAGGCTTTGGTCTTATGTCTATAATCATTTCTATGGCAATTGTGATTATAATAAGACGTTCAAAACCTCGTCTACACACGGTTCGACATCTACTGATGTGTAATACATGTATTGCATCGATTGTTTATTGTATTGTGCAAACTATTAATTATATTTTTCTCATCTTTGTCCCATCGGAAACAAGTGATGTAGCATGTCAATGGCGAGGCTATTTCGGTTACATGTCAATTTCAGCCGCTACATATTCTTATCTTATTCAAGCAATATCACGTCTTTTCTTTTCGAAATTTTCAACAAAATATCCTTGGTTAATTACATTCAAAACACATTACTATCTTATTCTCACACATTGGATTGTTGTGTTAATCATACCATTATCCTCAGTTATTACAAAAGATATTTATTTTCGTCCTGGTCTTCTATGTTGGGTGCCATTGAAGTACACCCTTCATGTGGCATATACTGTATTTGCCTATTATTTCGTACCAGTCTCTTCTATCATTATTATTTATATTTATATTTATAAAAGAATTAAGAATGGAAGTAAACGTGCCGAAATGATTCTTAATACAGTAAATGACAAACGTGATCTTGAAGTTTTTCGTAATATCGTCATTCTTCTAAGTATTTATATAACAGGTGGTATTCCAACACTGATTTTTCTTCTTTTTACGATTGAAATAAGTTATTTAGCTGGTATTGTTACATTTACATTAGCTGTAACTGTTGAAAAGATATGTACGATCTTACTCGATCGAGAACTTCGTCAAGTTGTATGGAATATAATATTTTCAAGAAATCGAGTTACACCTTTTGAAAATACAATTACACTAACCAGACATAGAGTAAATTTCAGGCGTTCTTGATGGATCTAATGATAATACTATCTTATTACTATGAATTAAACTATGGTATCAATGGATCATCAACGAGGATAGTACTGAATACGTGATTCGAGCTATCACAATATGACTTAAGAAAATTCAATGGTTTTTTAATAGAAATATTTCTCTTTATAAATTCTCAGCGGAATTTTTTTCATATTTTCACTATGAAAACTATTTTGTTGCATCTTATCCATAAATATCACTTAACTTTAAAGTGTCCTGTGACGTATCATATTATGTAAATTTGATATTTTCATCATTCTAATAAAACTAAAGTTCTTCATTGTACTCCTAAGTGACAAAGTTAAGATGAATATTCAAATTATTTCTATTGAATCATCATGATTTGAAAATTTTCCTGAATATATTAGATGCAATTGTGAAGGGACAATGTTCCTAAATAATTAACTACCAATATTCATAGCTCATATGGACATAAATTGACGTCTCAATCGTATATAACAACGATGATTAGTGCACTGACATTTTTTTTATTGGACTGTAAAAAATAAATATTTTAGTTATCTTAAAATCATCTGACGAAGAAACATTTTCAGCTGGTATTCTTTGTTCGAGATTCTATTTTGCTGATGGATATGATTGATTGTGCATAGAAAAAATTCTAAAATGATATGTGCCGTTAGACATTGTTGCTCGATTTTTAACCATTTGACTGCATTGTTCGTTTTTTTTTAAGAAAATGAGGCGAAAAACTGAATTAAAGAATGTCAGCCTAGCATTTTATTCAGAAATCGATATCATAGCTCTTATTATACCTTGAAAGTGTAAGCTGAAATAGATCGTCTTTTTCTCAAGATATCGAATTCTTAGAACAAGCCGAATATTTTTGCATGAACCTTATGCAAGAAGCGAATGGTTTGGCAAATGTCTTACCTCGAGAGAAGTATACATTTGGACTAAACATTGCAACATATTATTAAAACTATGATATTTATTTTTGAAGTAAAGGACGTGGCGCTTTTTCCATAAGCTATACTCCCCCTCCCCACCCGCACAAGGTTTCTTTTTCTTTCAATATGTTTTGCTTGTGGATAGTGTGAAGATATAAAATCATCCAACCAGACCTTGGACATTTTTAGTCTTAGCAAACAAATCAATATTTTAGAGGAGGATCATTTACATAGGAAAATACTAGAAATTAGGGAGTATTTAGAAGTTTTTGTTGTTAAGAGTAGGTTTTCATCTAAAATGAGTATGATATTCGATATCAGCATAAAATATTACACGAGAAACGCTATTTTTCATTGTAAAATATTTTCCATGAAAATTTGACTCGTAGGGGACCAGGAGGAAAATCTCTTGGATAAACGAGTGAGGAGAGTATGGGTCAAATTTTCAGGGAAAATATATTACAATGAAAAATAGAGTTTCTAGTGTAATTTTTTATGCTGATTCCGAATATCATACTCATTTTACATAAAAACCGACTTTCGACAATAGAAACCTCTAAATACTATCTATTTTCTAGTATTTTCCTATATAAATGACTGTCCTCTAAAATATTGATTTTTTTGGCTAAGACTAAAAATGTTCATAGTCCGGTTGTGTGATTTTATATCTTCATACTATCCACAACCAAAAGTAGTTGAACGAAAAAAAAACCTGCAGGGGGTATAAGCGCCACTTCCTTTTCAGTGAAAAATTGTTAACTTAAGTTTTCTCATTATATCCCTGGAATATATAAGAGAGAAGTGTAGCAAAATGATTGAACTCGGGCGGAAACTCCTAATGATGCATATTCTTTTAAAGATTTTCAAATGTACAATCAGTCCTATTCATCAGTAAAATACGACTTCAAACGGAATGTATCAGTTGAAGAGTTGCTTCATCAGAAAAAAAAAGGGAAACATTTTTTTTCTAGTTGAAGAGTGAAGATGAAAAGGTACATCAAAAATTAACTTTTAAATAGAAATAACATATAAAGAAGATCCAAATATAAATATATAGAAATACAATGTATCGATTATTTTATTTTAAAAATATTTTACTCTCAATTTATAATTCTTTACTTGTATAATTAAATCTTTCATATTAAAAACGATTCATACATATAAATGTTTTTAACAAAAATCCAATATAACATGTTGATTCATTATTCTAATAATATTTATCTTGATATATGTAGATCAAAAGATTTTCTACACATACAATACTATTTGTTATTGAGCTCTGTAATACAAGAATAAACTCGTTTGCATTTTTAATCCTATCTGAGTTTTTTCATCTGAGTTACTCATCATATTTCGATAATTGCATTTTTGCATTAAAAATCTGTTTCTATTAAGGCTTCTTCTTTTATCTCTCTCCAATAAAGAAAAGTATGAAAGTATTCATGGTTTCCTTTCAGAGAAATGGTTTCGTTGAGATATAATCTTAAGATGAGCAGCTAATTAATAATAAAATAAGTTTTTGTCTGCACGTATGTATGTATTCAGAATGAGTTCAAAAGAAATTGTATAAGCTGGAACGATGAATTATGAATGTGAAAACGATATCCCACATTAACATAACAGTAAAAAATCTTAAATATGTGTCAATTTTATAAAGTCACTCAGATATATTAAAAATGTGTAAGAGAGACTAACTATTTATAATACGGATAAAAAAACAAAATGAATGATAGTTCAAAAGTATATCAGACATGCATAAGACGATATATACAGAGAGCATCAATTCATTGATCGCTTACACCATCAGATTTTCATATTGAACATTTTCGACTAGTGGTCTTTAAATTCTTTCATTACTGAAACAAGAATAACATTGAGGACATCAGGTTTTCTAAGAGTTGATAACTATATGTTTCATTATTTCATTCAGTGTAACATTTAAGCATGTTTTGTATTTGTTGAGCAACAAAGGAGAAAATAGTTAAAAAATGCTTCAGTCTAATAAATCATTCTTTATAGGTAACCTATTAGAATGAAGATGAGTAACTATCTTGTCAAGAAAAAATTTCTCTTCGAGGATAATCATAGACGATCTACGCATCTCATGAGTATTCGTTAACATTGAAAATCATTTTCATTAACTGATATTCAATTCTCATTTTTTCAGGCCATTTTCTGATACTTTCTCATTTTGTTATTTATCATATGTTATGGTTTTTTGTTACATTTGATTGTAACTATAAAATTCAATGAATTTTATAAATAAAAATCTTGAGTTAATAATGTAGAAGTCCAGAGGAAAGGTTATGAAATTCTTAATAAAATCGAAGTTTTCCAGCTGTTAAGTATACCTATTGTCTGTTTGAAAAAATAAACTCAGAAAACGTTTTTGAAACACATATATATATATGTGTAATTGATCCGAGTGCATAAATGTATATAATGAATTATATACAATACATGTTGCATTTTTTTGTATTCACGATCCTTAAATAGAAGGAAATAAAATAAATAATTGAGTTTAAAAACAGTTATTTTGACATATGACGATCTTGCGTTCTATGAAAATGTGAAATTTGTGTAAAAAATATTTAAGAGACTATATTAGATTATTTTCATTTATCTTACTTTGCTCATTTACTCAAAATAATTGAGTACACGTACAACATTTCAATTTCAAATAGTTATAATAGAATACTGACAAGAATTTTACTACGATTAGTTAACTGTTGAAGTATTTTCAAACCACAGCATGTTATTCATGAACTCATTCTATGATTTTTCTAATTATTTTTTCTTATTTCAGATAAATCAATATCACTTGATTGTAAATAAGTATTGACATTTAATTTTTAATAATTAGGGAAGTAAGCTTACAATAAAGATAGAAGAGCTAATTTTTGTTCATCACTGTTTTGAAAATAGAAGATTAGTATTATTAGCTCTTGAGCTTTCTCCGAACGAGTTTTTTTTTTCATTATGTTTTCTAGAAGCTTGGTTTGTATTAGTAGAGCAAGATATTATTGTGTAGGCTGAATCTTTTTTCGTTTTAAGCAAATTTCATAGTCATAATGAAGCTAAATTATTCATTATTCATTTAATACATTCCATAGTAATGTAAAAGTCACTAGGAAACATAAAGAATAGAGATTAAACTGGAAAATCAGTTACCACATATTCATAGACTCTTTCTGTTCATTAACACAATACTTACTTGTTTAACTAGACATTTATCAAGACAGAGATGCCGTTAAAAGTGATGATTTTTCTTTACAAAAAACCTATGAGACTTCTAATGCAAGCTATTCTACTTGTTTCCATTCTAACTATGTAGCAAAACAACCATATAGATTAGAGCTGAAAGTATTTGAGTCTCGGTCGAAATTGTAATTTTTTTCAATTTTTTAACTGATTCGAATATTATTTGCACTAATCGATCTATTATGTTTTATGTAAAGTTAGATAAAATCCAGATCAGTAGCTCAGCATAAAAATTCTGTAGGCTTTTTGTAGATAAAAATCCTCGTCATTTTCAGCAATACATCTGTCTCGATGCTTGTGTTCGCGCGATAAATATACAGAAAATAACAGTGTAGCCAGAAACGGTTAACCTTTTTTTTTTATATAAATGTTAAAGTATTTAGCTTCCATGAAAACGAGTTCTTGAAACGTTCTCCAGTTGCTATGATGAGTCTCTTCTTCCACATAAGCATCGAAGAGTTTAACAAATCACTGATTAAACAAACATGAATTTTATCTGTTATAGTCACATGAAACTACATTCTCTTCTTCTAGAAGTTTATATGAATGAAAAGTCATGAGATAAATACCATCGTCTTGTTCACAATTCATTCGTTTTTTTGAATAAAATTTCATAAAACCGTCACTCTTCTATTGATTACAGAAAATATATTTTCCAAAGCTTTGATTAGTATTTGATTGAAAACTGCCGAAACCTGGACAAGACTCACTTATTTATTTCTCCTATCGCTCATTTCAATATAATTATTGTGTCTTTTGACATTCAACAGAATAAGCGAGTCTTTGATCGAGTTTAATGTACTGTAT